AAATAAGACTAGTTTAAACTGGTTGCGTTATGCATGTATGTATGTATATGCGACAGGTGTTAAAAAATCGGCGAGAACAATTTCCTGTTCAATTAAGTAAATAATTTAAGTAATTATATAAGTAAGTAGAAACTATGTGAACAAAACATGTTATGTAAAAAATACATGTTAAAATAAGTTGTATCTTATTATATTATAATAATAAGAATAGTATACGAAAATGAAAGAATTTTTACAATTTTCTTTAAATGTCGTTTCGAGGGCCATACAGACTCAGGTTATAATTAGAAATATTTTTGAAGCCGAGCAGTCATCTACGTAATGATATTTTCTCATCGCAAGCGTCGTAAGGGCGGGAAAAAGAACGGGATTTATTTAATAGTTTTCGATATAATAAAATTTAGAGGATCGAAATTTTGTCGAGAATATTGTACGTATTAATAATTAATTACGGTTAATATTCTCTATAACTACTCCGTTAAAGTAAATTAATATTTCTGACCAAGAACCAGTATGGTTTACTTACGCTTATCAAATAATAGGTACAAATTGAAATTGGTTATATGCGGGGCGCACTATAAGTTTCCGGAATGAATAAGAAAAAAATACATACGAATGAACCAATTTTGAAAACATTTATGCCACACCTCCGTCACAATCTCTGAAACATATTTTTCATACTCTTCGACAGCCTCTGTAGGTGGTGAAAATCGTTGACCGCGTAACGGAGTTAATTTTTGGAAATAAATAAAAGTCACAAGGTCGGGACTGTACGCGAGATGGCTCATAAGGTCAATGTTGTTAACCTTCGAAAATTCATTTGTCTGTCTGGCCGAGTGAGAACTGGCATTATCGTGGTGCAAGATGATACGGCGTTTACGGTATTTTTTTTCGGAGTTTGTCAATAACTTCCGGCAAACAAATGGTCGTGTACCAATCACTATTCACGTTACGACGATTCTCCAAAGCAACCGTATCCAGTTTGGTATCCATGAATCCAGTTTCACGCACTTTCCGGTAACCGATTCCAATAAATCATGGCAAATATGTAGATACAATTCTGAGGTAATTTTTTTATAAAAAAGTTATTCGAGCTTAGAAACTTTTGTTTATTCTTGAGGTTGAGATAAATCCATTACTGCCATAAGGCGTTAATGTAATGAAAAAGCCCGTGGGCGTAATTTAACTATTTACGGTCGATTTTGCCTGCATGTTATGGTTATGACGTTATGACCAACATCGGCAAAAAGCGTTCCACATACACAGATATATGTATAAATATAGCTACAAGGAGCGACATAGAGTTATTAAAACCACCAAATATTAATTAATTACTTTTTCGAATTCCGGATTTCCGGATGAAAGAAACTCGTCTCTTGAATGAAGAGAAATGGCCGTCAAAAATGGCACTTTTCCGTCTTGTTTAAGCGTCCGGCAGATATTTTCATAAAAGTATTAAAATAATTAAGTGTGAACATATTCCTTTTAAAATACGACATTTCCACTATTGGTTCGAATTTATGATTTATACAGTATTTTTTAATTAAATAAAAGAAAATAAAATATTTTTAGAGTCCTCGTTCCGTCAATGTGACCGTCAATATGCGTTATCTAAAACTGGGGAGGGGCGAAGAGTGATCATTCTCGTTGCTTTTTAATTCTGTTTTGCTAAAAGGTCAGTTATCTACTGCATTTTTTACACGACACCATTAGAATTACTTTAAGTACTAGGTCTTTTACCTTAATACCTAGGTCCTATTACTTTAAAACCTAGGTCAGTAGTTTTGTCATAAGATGCAGCAAAACCATTTCCGGAAATAGAAATAGAAACTGTAATTAATTAATATTTGGTGGTTTTAACAACTTCATGTCGCTCCTTGTAGCTATATCTATACATGTGGAACACCTTTTTCCGACCATTGCCTATGACTAGAGATGGGTTTTTACCCGATAAATGGCCGTCAAAGTATAAATATCCAATAAATACCCGTTTTTACTGAGTATTTATGACATGGATAAGTATTTTTTGTTTTTTTATAATAAAATTCATTAGAATTAATTTTTTATTAAATAATTACAGCTTGGCAAAAAAGAGTATGACGCGGTGAAAACTGGAACTAAAAAAAGATATTTGTGGCAACACTATTAAAAATGTCAGTGGTGTCAAATAACCAGTAGCTTTTGTGTTATTTCTGTACGCGCTGAGTAATTTTATACGAAGTTCTGTAAATTCTCGTACGGTTGTTGCTTGTTTTGTTATTTAAAATGAACAAAACGATTCGTAGTAGTGGTAGAACAATGATATACCAAGTTTTTTTTTACGATGTTTGGCTGAATCTCAAGCGGGACAAATTTTGTCTGAAATTAACAATGTTTATCAGAGAACAGCCGATATGACAGGTATTTATGCAAATTATTTAATTATTATTACGTTCTAGTTGTCGAATTACGCACTTTGCACTACTTTTAATATACAATTAACGAGTATTTGTGTTTAGTTGACAAAATAGTAACTAAGGTTATGTTTACGTATCGTTTATAAGTTGACTTAATATTTTTGATCCTTTCAAGACTTAAAATTCAAATAAATTGGTGATTTTGTATATTTGTGTATGTTTGGTATTTATTTTAGGTAAATCTGTCAATACCATAAGAAAAATTGTTGAAGAAGGTGAAAAAAATAATGGCGTGTTTTCTACACCTGGTAAACATAGGAAAGGTCGACCAAAGAAAGATCTCGATGATTTTGACCTCTGCGCAATTAGACAAAAGGTTCATTTCTTCTACTCGGTAAAAAAACAGGCATGTATTATATTTTATATTAATGCCACTTTCTTCAATAAAAAAACAGTATTATGTAATAAATAAAAACTTTTTATTTTTTTCTCAGGTGCCTACACTACGAAATTTATTACCTGTAGTTAAAGAAGATTTGGGATTTAATGGAAGCCGTGAACATCTAAGAAAGATATTACATCTCTGGGTTTCTCTTACAAAAAAATGTAAAACAGACGGATCGGCACTAATGGAGAAGCCTAATACAGCAGCAAAGAGGGAACAATATTTAAAAATTATAATGCATAATAGAAATTTGCCTCAAGAACTCCAAAAACAAATTATTTTTTTGGATGAAAGCTACGTACACTCATCTTACAAGCTTAAAAAATGTTGGCAATCAATTGAAGTTAGTGGAGTGTGACACAATATATCTAAAGGCAAAAGATATATTATTGTGCATGCTGGGAGTGAAAAGGGGTTTGTTCCAAATGCACTATTAATTTTCAGTGGCACAAACAAGAATGAAGATTACCATTCTGAAATGAATAGAGCAAATTTCACTAAGTGGGTTACCAAGAAATTAATTCCCAATTTGACAGAGCCTTCCATTAACAATAATGGAAGGCTCTGTCAAATTGGGACAATATGGACAATGCTCCTCACCATTCGGTAGTCATCAATAAGGCCCCAACCAGTGCAACAAAAGTTGCTGATGTAAAGCTGTGGTTGCTACAAAACAATATACAATTTGATGAAATGATGCGTAAACCTGAATTGTTAATGCTTGTAAAACGCCACAAACCAGAGGCCCTTTATGAAATTGACCAAATATTGGGGGATCATGGTCACACTGTGGTACGGCTGCCTCCATATCATTGTGACCTCAATCCTATTGAATTGATATGGGGAGTTGCAAAACATAAAATTGCCTCTGTCAATGTAGGGTCCATTGACATAAAGGTAGGGATCTAGTTCATAATTCGTTTTTCTTAATGTTATTAAGTTGAACTCATAATCAATAATATTTTTATTCCGACAGATGGCAGCTGAACAAGCATGCCAAGCGATTACTGCCGAAGATTGGAAAAATTCATGCCAACATGTTATTAAAATTGAAAACGAGTATTATGAAAGGGGTATGACTATGTATGACGACATTGAAAAATTGGTTATTAACGTCAGAGATGAGAGCAGTAGCGAGACCACTTCAGATTCATGTGATTCAGATGAGTTTGTTGTTGCCGGAACGTCTAGCCAAGATACAATAGAGTTTTCTGGGGTGGAATATCTCGATGAAAATGTTTTGGAATCTGATTGATTTAAAATTAAAAAAAAATCCGCGATATTATCCGAAAATTAGTATTTATTAAAAAATTTTAAATTGTTATTTTGTTTTATTAGAATAAATTGTACAAACAATAAATGGTTCATTTTCCCTTTTATCCTATTTATTTTATTATGATTATTAAACCTGCTCGAATCTACCTTAGTAAGAAGGAAAATAGGTCATTTAAATTATAAAAACAAATAATTCTGTGAGGGATCATTATGTTGCTATATAATATTATGTTGTTACTGTGGATGGATCGAGTCTAATGGTAATTGAAAATTAACTCTAAGAGCGCGTTTATTTGACGCGAATATGTCGCCACCGCGCGGCCGTGACGCGGTGACGGAGTTCACGTGTTTAGAGACCGAACTGTTATAACAAAATACGCTTTATTTATTTAGAATTTACATGTTAAATTCAGAATTTTCAAGAAACAAAAACTTCACCACATTACTGCTCGCCGACTTGGGTTCGTCCAGTTACCAAAATTATGCGAAGTTTAACTACAAAGAAACAAGTTGTTATTGCATTATTACTTATACAAATAATGCAAAGAAGAAAAAAAAGAGGTGAGATGATTTTGGGTTCATCCCATTTTGGAAATAAGAGAAGAGTTTGGAGAATTTCATACGAGGCTGGCTTAGCTTTCGTCCACTTGGCGTGTGTCTGGGCGCTAAAAGCCTTTAACAATAAATAAAAATAACAAGTATCTAAACATTTTTCGTCGTAGTATATCGGGTTGCCACATATTGATCTAGGCGCCCTCATTAAATCCATACTCTTTTTTGCCAAGCTGTACCTTTATTTGTGGTTCTACAGCCAAAAAGATTATTTTTAATTTTTAAAGAAATATTTCTACCATTTAAGAATGAAAATATCCACAATAGAATAGGGCCTGGAATGCCCAGATAAGAGAGATTCTTGATAAGATATGCATGATTTATATTGTCAAATGCGCCTTTGATGTCCAAAAAAAACAGCAAGAGTGAATTTATTACGCCTCATATTCCTTTTCATATCACCTATTAAACATCCCAAGTTATACATGGTGGATTTCCCTTCGCGGAAACCAAATTGGAACTCCGGAATCAAACTGTTGCTTTCAATGTACCATTCTAACCTATTTTTGATCATAGTTTCAAAACATTTAGAAAAACACGATGTCAATGAGATGGGTCTATATGCATCTAAGCTATGAATATCCTTGTACGGTTTAAGAATTGGAAACAGGGGGAATAGAATTATTAAGCCATAATTGATTGATAATTTTAAGAAGAATGATTTTAGCTTGGGATGGTAATTTTTTATTACTAAATAAGGAATGAAATCGGGACCTGGGGAAGTATTTTTTTTATACATAAGAGCAGCATCAAATTCATGCATTTCAAAATTAGAGGTGAGCCATTGTGCTCAGTCAGCTCCAGGAGATAAGAAAAAAACTTGTAATTCACGCATATCAATGGCGATGCTGTCGCGAGAAGCACTTTTGTTGAGAAGGTTTAAAGCATTAACTGGATCTTCCAAAAAAAGTGTATTAGTATTAGCGGTTGAATTTAGTTTAAAGAATTTGAATCGCCTAATATAGTCCAAAATAACTTTACTGGGAGTCATTCGATAAAAAGAGGAGCATAAGTTAGCCCATGCTAATATTTTTTGCTCTGTTAGGATTTTTTTTTATTAGCATCAAAGTTCTTGTATAAAATGAAATTTTCCATAGTGGGATACTTTTTAAACGGGTTCAATGCCAATTTGGCTCTAAGAACAACTTGGTTACATATGTCATTCCACCACAGTAAAGGCAAAGAGGATCTAATCACTACGTTTAGGTTTACGTTTTCGGTGTGGCAAGGATATACTTTTTTAAGGAATGTCCATAAAATGTCAACTAATTTAGAAACAAAGTTGTTATAATTTTGTAATGGATTGGGGGGCCAATCGCGCTAATTGTCAACGGTAAAACCAAAACCTTAAACCTCGCCAATGTGACACGTTGCGTACATTTCGTATCGCGCTAACTGTCAAAACAAAAACCAAAGCCAAACAAAAAGGAAACGTTAGACGTGTGACACGTTACGCACATTTGGTATCGCGCTAATTGTCAAAGGTAAAACGAAAACCTAAAACGTTGCCAATTGGTATCGCGCTAAATATTTTAACGTTTTAACCACTTACGTAACCTTGGGGGAATGGATTTACCTTTGACAGGTTAACGTTTGTGTGGCAGTTAATTGAGAGTAACTTTTCACTACGTTTATCGTATATTAAAAATGTTCCACGGTTACTTAAATGTTTCGGAAAGTGTTTATGAGGTGGATGTGGCCTAAGAACAAGCTTTAAATAAAAGAAAAGCATACAAAGACTATCACATTTAACATGTCTGAGGAGAAATTCCGCAAACGATATACCGTTTGTCCACGGAATTCATTTCAGGATTGGTGGAAGAACTATGCCTACATATTCCCGTTAAAGGACGGTCTGTTGCATTGAATGTGGAGACAAAGGTAAGGGTTAAGTGGAATCCGATAGTTCTGTTTTGCGTAATAACCAAATTTCTATACTGTGTAAATCATTATTAATTTTATAACAATAATAATAACAATAATAACATTGCATATTATAGTGGTATGAGTTCTGGTACAATAACGGTGAGTGATCCACTCACTGTATCCTATTACCTCTCATTATAGCTCACCTTTTGGGATCTATTGCGGGGCCACAAAATAGCCACACACTCGCACCAAAGGAGCTCGCTTATAGTGGTCACTCGCCGTCCGACCGATCGACCACTGTAAGCCAGCTCCATCTTTGTTGGAGTTCGAATCGCACAGAGATTTGGCTTGAGAATGACTTCGCTCGGCGTTGTTCGCGCGTGTTATCAGCACGCCTTTGGTGCGAGTGTGTGGCTATTTTGTGGCCCCGCAATAGATCCCAAAAGGTGATTCATAATGAGAGTTGTTAAAAACAATACGAGCTATTAAAATCTGTAACAAAATTAATAATGATTTACACAGTATAGAAATTTGGTTATTATGCAAAACTGAGAACTATCGGATTCCACTTAACACTTACCTTTGTCTCCACATCCAATGCAACAGACCGTCCTTTAACGGGAATATGTAGGCATAGTTCTTCCACCAATCCTGAAATGAATTCCGTAGTCAAACGGTATATCGTTTGCGGAATTTCTCCTCAGACATATTAAATGTCTTTCTATGCTTTTCTTTTATTTAAAGCCCGTTCTTAGGCCACATCCACATTTAAGTAACCGTGGAACATTTTTAAAATACGATAAACGTAGTGAAAAGTTACTCTCCATTAACTGCCACAGAAACGTTAACCTGTCAAAGGTAAATCCATTTCCCCAAGGTTACATAAGTGGTTAAAACGTTAAAATATTTAGCGCCATACCAATAGGCAACGTTTTAGGTTTTGGTTTTACCTTTGACAATTAGCGCGATACCAAATGTGCGTAACGTGTCACACGTCTAACGTTTCCTTTTTGTTTGGTTTTGGTTTTTGTTTTGACAGTTAGCGCGATATGAAACGTACGCAACGTGTCACATTGGCGAGGTTTAAGGTTTTGGTTTTAGCGTTGACAATTAGCGCGATTGGCCCCCAGAAGTCATCTGCGATCTTACGGTTGAAACGCTTGACTCCGATGATATCAGTTGCAGCCTTCAAGTTTTCTAATAAATCCTCTTCACAAATATCAACAGGTGCTCGTGTTATGCCCTGGCTTTCGAGATTATTGTATGGAATTCGTGCTAACCATTCAAATTTTTCCAGTGCTTTTTTGTTAAGCAAAAAGTTATTAGCGTCCTTCTTGTTGTTAAAAAATACTTTAACAAGTTCAGGTCCGAACTGTTTGACATAGATAACACCAGATGTAGTTTTCAAAACATTATTAACTTTGAGTAAATCCATTTTGTTATTTTGGCCATTGTTCAACGAAAGTAGGATTGTATACTCTTTCTTATCATTATCGTTGTAAATGTGGTTATAATCTCTGAAAAGTCAACTACGGGTTCGAGAAAAGTTTGCCGCCATTTTCGTGGGAGGAGATTCTACGAAGTCTCTCTTCTCATCGTTTTTCCTTTTTCCAGGACGGACGATGCCGTCTCTGGAGACACTCATTTACCCAATTAGTAGTAACGGATGTGCAAGGAAATTCGACAGTAATTTGTGATCAAAAAGGGCTTAAAAGTAATTTTTCAAAATTAATTAAAATAAAGCAAACTACTTTGAAGCTTGGCGCCCTTTTTTTTCTGACATTTCATTGACGTTTGGGATGAGATTTTAGATTTCTAGAGACATATGATACGAAATCGAGAGAAAAAAAATCGATTAAATATATATGATCGATGCAATCTTCAGCGACGAAAGAATCAATTCATTGACGATAACTTAGGAATAAACAATTAATGATATTATTATTAGGTTATACAAAAAAAACAGGAACAACAAAAGTCAACATCAACAAAACAAAACAATATAACCAAAAGCAAAGCCAACAAAATAATAATCAATCGCCTTATAAATCGTTATCAGTCGAGCTTACAATTTATTTTGTTATCTCGTTAGGGGCGCGAGTTGTTCGACTTGGGTCTTTGTTCGATGTGCTCAATGAACGATTGGACTGCCCGGACTTAGTACCTACGTCAAATATACTTACGCTATGTACCTGTGCGGCGTACTAGACACACTTCTCTGTTTCATGTTAGACCTGTGCCTGATCGGTCCTTAGAGGGAGCGATCCTAGTAAGTTCAATCGGTCAACTGAACTAGCTCGGTCTTCTAGTTCATCTAGATCCTTAGTTAGTTAGTTCGTCTTGTCCTTGCTCGGACACTGCACGTACGCTCCAAACTAGTAATTGTGTCCGTAGTAGTTCATGATAAAATTATTCACATGAACTACTACGGACTTCTCGTACTATGAGGTCAATAGTGCACTGTACTAAATATTTAAAAATACAATTTGTATCGAATCGGTACTATTTGATTTTCCT